ACTATTATTACTTGCAGAAGTTACAAATTTCATTAATTTAATAAACAAAGTATACAAATAATTTTAATAATGTTATAAGAATCTTAAAAGTACAATTTAGAAATACTTATACGTCTCAAGTATGTTTAAATCATCATCATATTAATCTACTTTCAAGTATTCTAATAACATGATACAATATTTAAGTTTGAAATGTATTCATGATTATAAAACCATTTATTAGAATTAGATAAAACAGTATAAGTAATTGGAACCTTTTAGCTGTTGAATGTAACCTATTTGCGAGCAGATGTAATACGCAAATCGTCGGAGTGTTCTTCGCGTCTTCGGAGATTTTATTTTCATTTAAAATTACTATAATTTACGAACCGCAAATTAGCAACGGATCGCGATTAAGATTTACACAGGATTTATGCAATCAAGACAATAGTTTAATTATAGGGCAAGACCACTATAACTGTTGAACTTCGATGCTCGCCTCGTGTAACTGATATGTATATTGGATAATTAAAAAGATATAACATCTTGCGCGGAGCTTTCTCCCATTGTTACCATCGGCTCGAGACTATTGTAGACGCTCTGAGCTTTTTGTAAGCTTGATTAGGAAAGTTGCTGAGAAGATTATATTTCCTATTTCTGGATTCCCAGATTGATTAAATTAACGGTGATAAAAATGATTAAAAAATAATAATTTAAAAAACGTCTATTGAAAGTTAAACAAGAAAGGTGACCCACACGCTAATAGCTAAAATGCATTTTATATAATGAATTCTCCTAAATCTAGTTGAAAAACGTAATTAAATTAATAATAAAATCTAACTAATATTGATAGTAAATATTTTTTAATGAAAATAATAACATCTTATCAATACAAATGTAACTAAAAATAATTCTTTAATTGAAAGCATATAATGACAACTTAATGTTAAATAATAGATTTTCGTGTTAATATTGAAAATAGAAATTTTATACATAAAATTAATTATAACATCTACAAAAAATAATTAATTAAACTAATCAAAATAATTACAGTTCGTCGCACGGTAGGAGTGGCAATAAAGCATTCAATTATTGATATTCTTTGATCAGATCTTTTTATAATTGTATTCAAAACATACACGCATATTTTTTCTCAAATTACAGTTTAATAACAGTTAGTTATTATATCAAAAACTTTCTTGCAGTCTCACAATTGTTACATCGATGATGAATTGTGTGAATCAATATCAAAAAAAGATCTAACGTTACAAAAATAAACATACAACTAGATACAATAGTCGAATAAAGGAAGAAGAAGACTTGTACGTATAAAATTAATAAATCTCTCGCATTGAGAAATCCGATCTTCATTTTTTTCACTCTCAGCTCATCCGATGTTGTATTCAAATCGTTGATTGAAGGATAATTTATCAGATCCCCCACCAGCGGACATTTATGTAGTCATAATATTTACATAAAATCATTTGATAAAAAAAAATGCGCCATTAAATTGTGAGAGGTCTGCTTTTCCTCTTCGCATCTGATGAACGAAAAAAAAAAACATTATATTGAATCATTAAATGAAAGCTTGAATAAGAATGGATAAGAATTAGAATTTATTACCTTACAAGAGAAATTAAGATAGAGCATTATTATTATCTAATAATACCTATAAATAAATAATATATAATCATGTAAAAAGACTTTAATGCACAATCTTAGAAATAAAGATTGATTTAAAACCTATTACAATGAATCTACAATGAATGGTTACATAAAATAGGAAATTTTTAACAAAAGATGTAAAGGTGATCAATCAACCCATAAACTTATTCAAACCATAAGTATATTTTATATAAATGAAGACAAAATCATTGAAATTTATTAATAAATATTCAGATTTAAATTAGTTTACTTCAGTTTATCAATTGAACGATTTATTAATTTAAATTTAGATCAATATTTTCGGTTAAACGATTGCACACGTGTTAATATATTTCTATTTATAAAACGATGATAATAATTAATAAACATATAAATAATCATATTATATAGTTCACTTATCAATAACAACAACAACAAATAAATTTAATCTTTATTAGCCACCAATAAGATAATAGAAACCTAATGACTTATTTTTTTGTAAACATTGATTGCTTCTTGTGTTTTTTTCTTTAATTAAATCGATCCAATCATTCTTTTGTAATGTGAGATAAGAACTCAACTCCATAACAAATAAACACAAGAGTCTTCTCCTATTATCACTATTATATTACAATTTGTTGAAAATATTTTAATTAAACAAAATCTTTATATAAAATCTTGATATAACTTGTTACTGGATTAATTAAGTATACAAATCTTGAGAAAGGAAATACTTATGTAACTTTAATTACTTCCATTTTTAAGTACTTTTCATTACATAAAAATGTTATTTACTAACGAAGGAATTACTTTGAATACTATTTAGAAACTTTACTTAAAATTCTAAAAATCAAAAACAATAAAGTCGATCATATAAATTATGTTCTTACTTAAGTACTTGGCAAATGTAATGAGAAGCGCAAACCAAGGATTTATAATAATCTTCCTAGTTACTTGTTACTTGGCAAGTATCACGTAGAATTAAATGTTTTAAGAATATACTAAATTACAAATATAATTTATATTAAATATTAGCTTTTTCTATTATTTCAACACTTTAGTTAAAGCCAACACTTCAGATTATTAATAATATTGTATTAGTTACATTGCTATAATAAAAATGTAACAAAAAATATTAACTTTTTTAATAAATAAAATTCAATGATTAAGGTTATAATAATTTAAATAATTAATTATAAAATAAATCAAAGAAGAAATCAATTAAATTTCCAATGATTAATTAATCTAACGAGTCGATAGTTGAAATACAAGAAAAAAAAGATAATTTATTGCGCACAGATCGGATCGGTATTGCTGGGAATTATCGATCATTATTTTTTTTTTGAGGAACAAACACGCGTTTATCCGTGGATGGATAATGAAGCTATTGTGATGCGAGGACTTTCTAATGGAAAACCGCAAACTTTCTTCCAGCTGTGGGAACGAACGGGCAGACGTTGTCCAGCTTCGTTTCCGGAGGTGGCGAGACACACTCAGGAATGCACCTCAGATGTAAATCGATCGATTAGTGGGTCATTAAGTTTGATTCATGCGAAGCGCGATGACAACATCTCGAGGGCGTCTCCTAGGTTTAGGCATAGTATGAGAACGGAACGTTGATGCATCAGAGCAACAAGCAGCAACAACAACTACAACGACGAAGGCAGCGGCAGCGGTGAATGTGGACGTCTTTAATTGAACATAATGCACATGTTATTGGACTGTCGCCGAGGGGAGCCAAAAGCGGTGGCTTTTTAAATGATTAAAACGATCTACGCTGTATGCATACATATTTTATGTACAACGTGTACAATATTTTCACAACTATCACACATACATTAGTTTTTTTCATTCAGCACGTTAATTATATTTTTTAATTAGAATAATTAAATTACAAATACAACAATTTATAAATATTTATTTATTTTTTATAATTTATAGACTCAATTATTAATAATAAATTTTAAATAATGTTAAAAAAAATGATGTATAAAGATTTATAAAGTAATTAAATAATTTTTTAAAATGAAAAATTTTTAGTAAAGAAAAAAAATACACTTTATATACGATTGTAATATATACCATACATAAAACAAAATAAATTATTCAATAAAAGATATAATGGAAAGTTTCAAAACATGTTTTTAAATACTAACGTCTATTCATTATATTCCTTTTAGAATTAAAAATTAAGTATTTAAACAGTTTTATACTAAATTATAGAAACGTCGGAAGCAGTTCATAAAATTTGAAATAAATTGTACAATTTAGAATACACTATAATCGAGGTACATTACGCTCTAATTTATGAGATATTTTTATAAATACGTAAATACTGGCAAACAATTGAAAAACTTGGAAATAAATGATTCAATTTTTAATTTACTGATACAATTTTAGTTTCTAAAATACAAAAATCAAGTATTGCCATACAAAAAGATAAAAGGTACTACCAAAAGACTAGGTATGAAATATTTTTATAAAGAGTAGACAAAAATGTATAATAAACTAATGATATAAGACAGTATTCAATTGAGATTTATGAGTTAAGTTTTGAAATAAATCATACATGATAAATTATTTTTTTATGTAGACATTAAATGAAGATATGTAATTTATTATAATTTTTGATTATCAAGAGATATTTATTACTTTTCCCCTTATAAATATAAATATATTATTGATAAAAGTAAATAAATAAAATAGAGTAATTTCTGTATAAATAAATACTGGTGATTGAGAATAATCAAAACAAAAAATAAATATCAGCATAAGTTTTAATAAGCAACTTTTTATCGCGTGACATATAAACATATGTTGATCAATAAATATATTTAGTTTAAGAGCAGATAAAAATGTTTACTATTGGTTAATTAGAATTTTAAAAACATTGTTTGTTAAATAGACTTATTATTATTTTTACGTAATGTGTAAAATGAGCTTTTGTATATATATACTGAAATAAATGTCATAATTTGCTGTAATTGCATTCAATGAAATGAATTCAATTTTTAAATTCGCATTAATTTTCCTTAAGTAGTCCAATAAAGAACACTCGGTGTATTTAGATCAGTGAACTTGAATAAAGCAGAGACGAAGATGAGGAAGAAGTAGAGGAGAAAGAGAATGAAGAGAGAGAGACACGACATGTGGGACCCTCGGAAGCCCATAAATATTAAAAGGGGCCAGTTTAGGCCCCCATCGGATCCCATCCGTAATTTATCTCGAAATATTGTTGTTAATAATGTAATTGATCGAAGCTATTTCGAGCGCTCTTTATCACCAGATAAGGAGAAGACCGCATGCATTGCCTTCAATCATTTCTGGAATAATTCATGCCGCATCGCATGTCTGCACGAGAACTTGGGAGTACTTACTTATTTTGAGAGATCGTAGACAGCTCGAGGATGAGATTGACGAGGAGCGTAGAAGATGGCACACAAAGTATTCACAACAAAGAATGTTCTTGTCTGGAGGTGTTAAAACGTTGCCTAAATGAGAGCATGTTCTGAATATACGTTCGAACGCGTCAACAGTTCAGTGGTCGAGTGTTATTATATTTTTTTATTGAGGGGTGTAGGGTTTCAACAGATGTTGATGGGTGTCTCGTCCCTTCGGAGCGTGCGTACAACTTCTGACCGTCTTCAACTGTTGTGTTGAACTGTTGGCTTGTAGCAGCAACCTGTTCGCTCGGATCGGGCGTCGCGACTAAACTAAAGTCTCCGTTTACCGTCTGCCTTTGCCTCTGTCTCTGCATGAAAGCAGCAGCAGCAGTCGAGAGTTCCGATGAGAGTTCCCGAGAGCCCCAATACCATGAGCCGAGAGCTAAGCTCTGCAACGGGTTTACGTGGGTAGATGAGAGCTTCAACTAGTTACCGTTTTCGAACGAGTTCATACCACCAACCCGAACTCGCGGTTCCAAAAGGGGCAAATCGAGAAGCGATTGAATCGAAACAAACGGATGATGCTCTTCTTCTTCATACGCCAAATAAATCAATTCAGAAACGAAACAAGGAACTCTCTTGCTCTCAGCATTTTCTCATCGTCCCTCGCAATTCTACGTCGTCCAATTTTCAAATCCGATACACGAATAAGCATTCTCTAATCACTAAAATTGATTCCGATCATTATTATCCTCCTCTATCGGTCGTTCGTGGAGAACGACCTTAAAATTGATTAATTTCGATTCCGATCCGTTTTACTTCGCAATATCGAGAGCTCATTTTCATCTCATATACTCCTTTCTAATAGATCATTTTCTACACATTTCTCCAAGCCAATCTAGATACCAATCATTAAGATTAATTCGTCTTCATAACATTAAAATATACTTTTTTATCCATTCTAAATAAAAAAACATCTTCAAATTATAAAAAAAAAAACGTTTTTCTTATTTCAGAAACAGATTAAATAATTTTTTATTATTATTTTAATTAATATTATAAGTTATTTTCACTGTTATATAATTACAATAAGTCAAAAAGTTAACTTACATGTAATACTTATTTCTCATAATAACCGCCCTTTTTAACAGTTTTTTTAATTTTGTTCCAGTTATATAACATTCCATTTTTCATTTACGTATGTTTAAATTGTAAAAATTGTAGTTACATAAATTTATATAATTATTAATTATAAACTACATTTTCGTAGTATTGCTTTACAAAACCAATTTGATTAAATTAATACATTACCTATTAAGTAAACAAACTATTTATGTAAACAAACAGTTTTTTATCACAAATTATCAAAACTAAAACAATCTAAATATGTTAAATTATGTCCGACATTTATGAGTTAACAAATTTACAAATATTTCGTTACATATTACGTCACCTTTATTTGTATACAATTAAGCAAGACTTTAATTGATTACGTTTTGTTTGTTGTTGAATTAATAATAAAAGTAATAACTTTATTTTCATTAAATGCATTAATTTTAATTGATTGCGTTTATAAAAAATACTATTATTCTATAGAAATTTATATGTTATAAATANAGTTTATGTGAAAACACATTAAGTATTTTCTTAATTACCAGGAAACAAATAAAGCGAAAATCTGGGATCTCAAATGAAACTAGTTCCATAAAGTGTAAACTTCACTCGAACCAAAGGAGTGACTTCTCAAATGCACATAACATAATTCACGCTGCAACCTGATCGAAATTAATTGGCATGTGGATGCCTACTATCATTACATCGGGAGACGTTAAAATTTAATTGTAATGCGTTACGCGGCGATAATTGTTACCAAGAATCATTTTCCGCGGAGATAAGACGACAGGATTCAATAGCGACATCCTCCTATGCGACCAATACTGAAATCCTGTTAGCAATTCCGTTCACATGTAGTAAGCAAGCTGTGCTCCTGCTGCTGTGAATATACTGATAAGACCTATTTTTGTTTATAACTGTTCGTTACGATAAAGACCTAAAACATACCAGTTTATATTTATGTCATGTCCGCAAGGTGAAATTTCGCAAAAGTCTTTACTCATATCATATAATTTACTCGTACGTTTTATTTTTTTTTGCTTCAAGTTTATTTAAAACTCCAGTAATCTAACTGTTGATTGATTATAAAGCCACAAATATCATCTATTTTTGGATGGAACCGTATCCTTTCGGAATTCAAAATATCGAAAGATTCGTTTACAGTTCTCAAAATAATAATAATCTCTACTTCAATAACAAGTTTTGTTATTATTTTATAATATTATCTGTCTAACATTATGCAAAAAAATACATTTATTACAATATTTCCAACACAGTAAATGAGTAGTATTTAGATTTTCTCAAACCGGTCTTAGATTCTATACATTTTTTTTATTAATTTACAATTAAACAAAGACAATAATAAGATTAATTAAAAAGGATCAGATAATAAAAAGTGTTCATATAAAATTAAAATAATTATATAAATACTTCCAAATACATAAAATAATGAAGCAGAAAAATATAGAATCAATTTTTAATAGATATTTTCATCACAATAAACATAATAAATTGAAATTAAATTTATTTTTATAAAAATGAAACAATCTACTATTTCTTTTTCTAAATCTAAAATATCTTTTAATAATAAGAATATTTATTGCAACAAACATAATATAAACTTAACACAATAACAAAAATAAATTGAATTAATGCAAAGGATATTTTCTAATATTTATACTATTTTATTATAAAGAGACGCTTTTAAAAACATTAGATTTTTTACTGTGGCAACAATTCCAAAAATATTTGTTTAGGAACAGATTGTAAATTAATAAATCCGTTTTATTTTTACAAAACATAGCCTCATTATGTTTTGCTAAAATTAAAACGGATGTAATTAATATTTGATTGGACTTAATTGGAATGATTTCACTCTGAAATTCGCTCAATGTCATACTTTTAATTAAATTGCATGCTTGCATTCGTGGAATCGTCTCGCTGCATTTATTTTATTTTAGGTAGTAAAGCTTATTATTTCTTGATTCAAGAATATTCTAATGATGCTGAAGCTCATTTTTTAGATATAAATTATAAAATAAATAGAGAAATACTAAGATTATTCATGATAAATGTGAATTCAAGCAAATGTTAATTCAAACCTGTTCGTTAATAAACTGTAGTACATTGATCGGCAACCTTTTTGGAGTGAAGAGCCATTTTTAAGTTTATATCTGTTAAACCAAAGACCGTAGAGCCGCAGGTTGCCGATCCCTGATTCACTATACAGTTCACAAAATTTGGTTTATTTTTAGAATAATTTATAATATTATAATAAATGTAAATATAAATATTTGAAGCAAAGTAGAAGTTCATTTCTCTATGTTTAATATTCTATGTCGTTAACAAATGGTTAATATTGATTTTAATTAGAAGTAGAGGTAAGCACACCAAATTAAATTACATTTAGTGAGATGCGAGATTGAAAACGAAAATGCGGGTAAAAACGAGGAGTTAATCCCGTAGCCGCAATAAATCATATCAGTTGCAAGAATGCACGGTCGGAACGTGTATTAATTACCTGAAAGCATGGATAATTACACAAGTGAAACAAGATTCCCCCTCGGATTAACTATCTATAAATTCCGAATTCCATATTATAGTACAATTTCCTTATATTGCCATCCCAGTCCGTATATAACCACACGCTTTACGGCCGCAATAAATAACCGCAAACCGGCGTGCAAACAAACGACGGGGTAAGAACAAAACAAGAACGAAAGAAGAAGCAACCAACGTACATAGAGAACTACAGAGAAGAAGTCAAGAAGAAGGAGGAGGAAGAAAAACAAAGCAAAGTCGAAGAACGATGCAACGGGGAAGGTATTATAAAGAAGGAAGACAAGCGAAGGAGGCAAGCGAACAATACTGCTCCCGTATAGAATTAAAAAAAAAACTGTTTAGTTTGATAATTACAAATTTTTCAAAACCGGTATTTTAAGACATGAATGACTCATATTAAATGAAGGTCAAATGTTCAGTATTTGACGCAACAAGTTTTAGTAATAATGCATATTAATGTTTTTAGAAATTAAATTTGCTTAAAAACAATATTAAAAATGAAACTAGATACAAATAACTATTGACGATATGATATGATACAAATTTACTTTATAAGTGTCTTAATTAAAAAGGTGAAAAATTGTAGTGATTTGTACGGATTTTGAAAGTGTTATATTTTTCTAGTTTCAAAATATAGATTTTTCGCTTTAAATATAATACCTAGCATAGTGCGGATAATCAATTCTACCAATATCCCGCACTGTTTGAAACCGAACTAATCGTGGTCTTTAAAAATAAGAGGTAAGAATGTAAATCAGTTTGTGTACTATTTTTTTAGAATTATATATTTTTTCTGAATTCAAATGTACTTTATTTTAAAATTTTCAATCCGTACTATAGTAAATCCGCACTGAACAAACCACACTATGCGAGGTATTTCTGTATTTATATGTAGTCTAAAGGACTATTGACAGTAGTCTTCGTTTCATTTTGTTTGATTTTTTAAAAACCGTTTATTCTTTTAGAAATATTGATATCCAAAAAACCGGTTTATTTTAAAAATCAGTTTTTGTATAAACCTTAATCCTGTAGGATTGTGCCCGTTCTACGAAAGGAATTGAGAAGAACAGAAACCAGGAAACTCGAAATGCGATGCGGCTCGCGCTCTCGCCGTTTGTTTATTGCATAAGCTAGCTTCTTCTCTCGTGCATCTACAATATCGGTTCTTTTAATTGAATACGGCACCGAGGAGGATAGGATGGGATGACTTCGGGCGTAGAGGCTCCACGCGAGATCGAAAAAATAAGGATTCCAGTGATAATACACGCCGCCAGTTACGTAACACGCCCGAACCGATAGATGATGTGCGGTGCAACTCATTTTTATGGCCGATATTAAGTAATAAAAGAGGCCCAACACGAAATCCCAATAAATTCTGTGCTGGATGAGTGGCAGATATGGTAATTCAGAGCTACTAAATTAGCCACTTTATTGGCGCCTCGGAAATTTATTGCAAATTGATTATATTACGATTTCACGCGCATAAACAACACACACGTACTCACACACGAACATAAATGCACACACTTAAACACATACACACAAAAACACTTCTCGGAGTATTCGAATAATAATTCTAATTCGATTACACGCGAAATTAAATCCGACTACGCTCTTTTAACGCCGCATAAAAACGTGTAATTATAATGCTCACAACTCTTTTAAAAAAACCAGAAGCATAGGAGTTTCATTTTGATGTAACTAATTTGATTAATGCGTTTTTTT